GGCTCCAGGTCCTCAGGGAAGACGCCCCCCCCCCCCCACCCTCCCCCCCCCACACACACACAGGAATTTCAAAATTTCACTGGGTAATCTGAGGAGGAATCATCACTAATTATTCTTAAGTATTGGCCCTAAATACTTAGATCACAGAGTAAATTGTAAGGAAATTCAGAGGAAAAATAAGTTATTTGGAGGCTAGAACTAGGAAAACTATATCTAAGTACAGTAAAGTATAGTGACCTTGGGACAACCCAATTAAATGATTATAATAAATTAGAAGGGTTATTTAATGACTTTTTGTTGCATTTAGACAATATGTATTTCTTTAAAAAGGAATTTTTCTTGTATATACTTGAGAGAATGAATAATTAGAGATCTAGAGAGACAATTAAAAAATGGTGACTATATATTATTAAAATATGTAGATATGCTTTTTTTCCTGTGTTAAACAATTAATAAGAAATGTATTGGAAAATTCTGGTAAAATTTCTAAATTAAAAAGCCAAGGGAAAAATTGTCCAAACTTTCTAGACAGAGTTACTATAATGGAAACAATGTTTCTGGCATCAAGATGCAACTATTGTCCATAAAGCTGGAATTTAAAAATGATGGCATGGTATCATTGTGTTACTAAGAAAAATGAGTTATAACTTAATCACCTAATAAGTAATTTATCTGACAAGGTTTGCAAGATATTTTGGATGAAGGGGAAGGATTGAGATGAAATATTAACCATACATCCCAACTAGAGAAAATACTAAAGAATCATTCCTATCAAAAAATAAATATCACCATGACCTCAGGATGGAAAGTATGAAGAGGGTCAAGAACTGTCAGCACCAAACCTTTCAATGTGCAACACTACCACTCATGCATAGGCCTCTGGTCACAGCCACAGCTACAGGAGACATGACAGACTGCTTGGGTTCATATGAATCCTCCATACACAGTCATACCCACTAATCCATATATACGCATAAATGCAGGCACAGATTCTTGAAATACAGGAAAGTATAATTCAATACAATATAGGACCAATGTTTCTTTCTTCAGTAATAGCACTATATAGGGAGATGAAGCTTGATTATATTAAATAAGTTCCACAAAATTAGTCAAATTGTTTATAATTATATTACATTTACCCTTCCTAGGTCTGTTGTTGGGTCAGAAAATTAAATTGGCATTTAACAGATTAATAGAATTTACATTTTAATGGATACATATATACATTATAGAATATACATTTTAATGGATATTAGAAGTTCCATAGGAAAATGAAGACCCCCAAAAACAGATAGGCCAATGTGTTTATATGGTAGGTTGACAATGACTGGTAACTTGAAAAGTAACTAAAAAGCATGGGGAGACTAGCAGAAGATAAGAGCTTTATAACAAGATTTGCATAGACAGATTTCGCAGGTTTGATTCCCTATCTCTAGTAATGTTATTTCCCCTACTTGATTTTACTTACTAAAAATCTTACGCTTCTGCCTTTGGGTAAGGATAAGAGCATTCACGATGGCTGTGAGGACTGAATAATAACAATAAATTCCCAAGATTGATGCCTAGCCTAAGGAAGTCATAAGTAAATTCTTTGTAGCTGTTTTGTGGTTTTCAGAAAAAAAAGCATCAACAAGCCAGTCTCCCATGGTGAAGTGGAAAGGGCCCTACAGCAGAGACTCCAGGTGTCTGCTGTGGAGTACAAGACTGACACAGTTACACAACTTGAAACCTACAACTAACTTTGCTCAATTTTGTGCCTATTGAGCAAATGTGTCACCTAATCCTTGGAATGAATGAATGAATGAATGAATGAATGATCTACAACTAACCTTGCTTAATTTTGTGCCCATTGAGCTAATGTGTCACCTAATCCTTGGAATGAATGAATGAATGAGTGAGTGAGTGAACGAGTGAACAAATGAATGAATGAATGAATGTGTCAATAACTGGTCCTCTGCAGTCTCACAATCACCAACCTGTGTCAGCCTGGGTTGAGAGCAGGGGCCTGAATGGAGGAAGCAAGTCTTCCTTTATGGAAAGGGTCAGAGGACTGAGACCACCTTTGTGAAGAAGAGGAAAGAAAGAGTGCTATGGAGTCCCCCCAAGGCTCCGTGGCTGGGTTAGGGACATGCCCTCTCAGAAGCTTTCTGAGAGCATACTAGGAGGATAAATTGGGAGATAAACTGCAGAGAGGACCCCTGAGCAGCAGTGGTCCTCAAACCCAGACTTCATTACACATAACCACCTTGACTGCTGGCCAGGAATCCTGGTTTAAAAAAAAAAAAAAAAAACTTTTAATGCTCACTTGAAAAATGAAGCACAAGCAGATTTTACTCATTTGTACCCTTGACTGCACCCACCGAAGCTTGTTTGCTTAAATGCAGATTAGCACCTGCAGATCATTTGCCATGGGCCTCATTAACTGGCTCTAGCTGTCTTTTACCAGGAAGAAAACGCAAAGGATTGGGACCGAGATTTACTCCATTGTTGCCATGAAGGTGCTGGCTAGGTGTCCTTGCCCTGGGTCCCTGCACTCTAACGACATGTCCCTCCTCCTCCCCCCACCTCCCCCCACCTTCCCCCGCAGAGTCTTCCAGCACAGACCCCGACACGCGGTTGGCGGGTGCACATGGCTTCACCGGCTGCCTGTCGGCGGTGCGCTTTGGTCCCGCTGCTCCACTAAAGGCGGTGCTGCGCCCTGAAGGTCCAGGCGGGATCACAGTCCTTGGACACGTGGCCTCATCTCCTGGCTGTGCGGAGGGGGCGGGGCCTGGTGCCCCTGCGCGAGAGGCTACCAGGCCGCTGGCAGGTGGTTCAGGTGCGTGCCCCTCAGTCGGAGATCACACTTGTCACTCACTGTCTTCAGCCCTGTCGCCATCCTGGAGCCTCCAAATGCCTGTGTTTAACTTTCTAGTCCTCTGCTCTTCGCTGCATGTTCACTCTTCACATACCAACCATTTGCACCTTTTTCAAATGTTTGTGCATTTCTCAAAAGTCCTCCTGTCCTCTCTCTTCTGTTCTTACTTTTTTTACTGTAGGTCGTTCTGGACCCACAGATGAGGGACAGCCCTTAGTTAACGCGAACAGAAGTGATTCTGCAGTAATCGGAGGTAACAGCAGGGTGAACAGGGACCTCTTCCCTGCTTTGCTGTGCTAACTCTCATACCCAAACAATAGCTGTAAGGCTCTGCCCTGACTGGCGAGGTCGGTGACAGGCCACAGATAATTTAACAATTCAACTCCTTTGGAGATAGGGAGTAGAAGGAATTGATGGTTACAGTGAAATACACTTTTTAAAGAATAGTTACTCATCTAGAATAGTAAGACTGTTATTTGAAAATAGTCATCTGTATTTCAGTGTGTGTATATATGTATGTACACACACAGATATGTAATCTCAAAAATACTGACATACTTATGTAGCCTTCAATTCAAAGTAGCCATAAACCTTTCAGTCCTTTAGCCCAAACATTTAAAAATAAGAGTAAGAAATAAAGCATATCAACAAAAAACACCTACCTAGGCACTGGTCATTTTCTTAAAATATAATAACACAAAAGTATGCTTCTTCTATGAATCAAATCTTAAACTATACAACACATATAGACATTTAAAGGTGTTAAGGTAAATGCATCTTAAATGTCTTCCATCATATCATGATAATCTCTGAAATATAACTTAATCCAAGTCTGGTTTAAAAATAATATTCAATTCTCCCTATTTATCTTTCAAAGAACATCTTAGTTTATTTTATTAGATTATTGCAATGTAATGCAGTTGCAAACTCTAGTGGGAAAGTAGGAAATAAATTGTTCTCCATTCCTTTGTAGTTCCTGATGAAGTAGTTACTCACTGACCAGCTGGGCAGCACACCTGTCCAGACTGAATCCCTTCATTTGATCTGCTTTCCTCTCTCAAGTACTTTCATTTTTACTATGAGTAGAGTCCATGACCCTCAGTTTACAACTTCAAAAACACTAGTGTACTATACACAATTGAAAAAGCATTTAGACATTTTAAAGTTCTGACCAAATCTGTGTTAACGATATTCACATTTTCTTTCCTCTTTCAACTACTTTCATTTGTCACAATGAGTGTAGTCCATGACCCCCAGTTTACAACTTCAAAAACATGTTATTTAAATGGCTACCCAAAAGGGTCACTTATGTCACGATTTAAATTAAATCTTAATCCTAAATCATTCTAGTTTATTAATGAGAAAACTTCAATGGGATGCAAAATCAAACTTAAAACTACTTAAACATGATTAATAATTTTAAAAGAGGAATAAAAGTTCCAGTGTTTTCAAAATGTCATAGCTCATACCCTACAAGACCTCATCTTTGAAAATTTACTGCTTCTGGCTAAATATCATTGGCAAGAAGTGCAAAGTGAGTAAGTTGCACCAGTGTTATTCCCTTAAGGAATCTTATTCAGCGTTTGACTGATGGGTTGGTAGAAGAGATCACAGAGGGTGCCAGGTACCTAGCAGCTCAGTTTACTGTCCCTGCAGGTCACTTGTACCTGCCTTCCCTGTGTGCAATGGCAGGCTGCTGCGTGGTTTGTCAGCTGCTCACTATAGAATTTCAGCCTTTTGCCTAATTGATCAGACCGCACTCATATGTTAAATATATGATCTGTTTAAAGGATGATCTCAAATAGCTGGATTCTTCTCTGTCCTACACTTTGCATTGTTTTCACCTCTGGCAAATTAAGGGAACACTATAAGAAAGGATTATCTTAACCTATTTAAGCTTTGGAATCTAGATAGCATAGATGGTTTCTTATCAAGGGATCTACATTACAGATACAGATGGATGGACAAAGGAAGAGACAGATGTGCCGAGAAGGGAGGCAGGCAAACATGAGCGTGTCTTAAAAACACATTTATACTGGAGTTGCTGATGGGAAGTCATAGAAGACAATAGATGTAATATTGACTTTATCTCCAATCTTTACAGGCAATAGGTAGAGCTAATTATCAACTTAGGACCCTACCACCTCACAAAACAAGCAAGCTGAAGTTAAAAGTCATCAGTAACATAAAATCTGTGATGTATAGTGGTGACAATAACTTATAATCAAGTGATTTATGTTGTTGAGTAACTGGCTCCACACCATGTATCTGAATGTAATAACTCCTTTTAAATACCTGAAAATTAAATTTAAAAATAATTAAGGAAACTTTTTATTCTTAAATTAGTCATAAAGTATATTGAAAATAATGAATATTCTACCTAAAACTATTTAAGAATATTTACAAAATAATAAATATGTTACTCTCAGCGAAGGAGAAATCTGGGTTCCTGAGGATATGTGTTCAGGAAGGAACACCTGTGACCATTTGCACCCAACAGACCTTTAAGTTTGCTGGGTATCATTACACTTGTTATGTCTGTCCCAGAGTATAATGAGGACCCCTTATTTTATAATACATATTTTAATTCACATAACTAAGAGGTAACATGTTTTCTAACTCTTGTTAATTGAAATATTAATACCCATGCCAATCAACATGAAAATGTATTGACTAGTGAATGCTTTTTTTAACCTCTCTGTTTAGGTATAGATTAGACATTCACTGTTCACCGTAATATGTTTATGGGCCAGTCTGACACTTTCAACATCAGTGTATTAAAATATTGATGTGTAAAAATAATCTGAGAGCTTCTAAAACAATACTGATATCTAGACCTCCCACTCAGATTTTGAGGCCTTCTCTGCTGTGTGATCAGTGTTGAGAACCATTGGCATAACTAACATTTTTGATTCTTAAAAATATTTAGAATAACCAACTTCCCATGTGATTGAATGTTGTCAGTATATCTGTAAATTTCTAATGGTATATTAGTTATCTATTGCTACATGACAAGTTATCACTCTCTTAAACAGCTTCACCCAACTCACATTTGCACTCTCAATCTCTCTGTAGGTCAGGAATTTGGACACCCTTCACTGGGTCCTTTGTCCTGGCTCTTATATGCAAGGTGTCAGTGAGAGCTCGGGTCTCATTCCACTGGAGAAGAGTTTGCTTCCTCACTTGGATGCTTGTTGGCAGTGTTTGGTGTCATGCAGCTATAGAACTGAGATCATCTGTTGTTGTACTGGCTACCGCACAGGAGAAATCTGGGTTCCTGAGGATATGTGCTAAGGAACACCTGTGACCATTTGTACCCAACTGAGCTGAGTTGGCTGGGCACCATTACACTGTTTACATCTGTCCCAGAGTACAATGAGGAACCTTATCTTATAATACATTAAAAATGAGGCGATGCTGGGCCCTCCCTGGTGGCGCAGCGGGTTAAAGCACAGCACAAAGAAGCTTAAACCACTTCATATAAGTTCGATTCCACCTGCCCCGGAGGAGATCCACACGGGCGTGGCAGACCTCTCCTGACCCGCCCGCTGCTCCTATCAGCAGTGCACTTCCTCACTCTGCCTGTTCTGCTCCCCACTCTGTCTCTGATGAATCCTCTCACCTTCCGCATCTCTGACCTGTACCCCAGTTCTGTACGAGTAAATAAATAAATCTTTAAAAAAAAAAAATGAGGCGATGCCCTGAGTGCTTAGATGCTGCCCACAGTGCCCTATCATGTGGGACTTTGCCACCATGGCTCCTGGCCGCCTCACAGTCAGTAGAAAGAGAGAGGCTCTAGTCAGACAGGCACTAAAACCCTGCATAAGATAATCAGTGCAGTCATGTGCACTTAATCAGGTGCAGTCCATCATCTTTGTTGTATTTTATTGATTAGAAGCCAGTCACAGCCCTGCATATAAGCAATAGAAAAGACTCACACAGGGTGTGGGTCCCCAGGGAGAGGACCCCCAGGAGCAGAAAACACTCTGTTGTCCTCATAGAAACAGAAGATATACAAACAGTAGTTTAAGGTCATGTTGGCATCAAAATTTAATCAAATTTTCATTAAAATGCTTATATATAAGCAGTTAATTATTCTAAGATGACATAGTCTATGATTTTAAAATAATTAACACCTACTTGCTCGTTAAAATGAAATGTGGACCACATTGTGTTTCCAAATCTGAGTGTGAAGGTTTAACTGAAATTTAATCTCAATATGTCTTTTAGGATGAAGGCATGAAACTGTTATATATAAAGGTTATATTGACTTAGAAGTTAACTTAATGTTGAAATACCTCTTGGTTTCAAATTCCCTGATGACATATATGACATTGATATATGATATAAATGACGCTAGGGTAGATTTTTGGTTAGGCTGACATTTACAGTTCAGATGTTGACTGTATTTTCCCCTTCTCTTTCTAGGTATTATAGCAGTTGGGATATTTATCTTGCTCTGCTTCACTGCCATAGCTGTACGCATTTATCAACAGAGATGGTTATACAAAAAAAATGAGTCACATATCCCCCAAAATGCAGACAATGCTGAGATTTCTCTGAAAAGTGAGCTTAACCAGCAAAGTACACTCAGTGAAAGCCAGAAAGAGTATTTCTTCTGATGGGCTGCTGTGGAGTACTTGGTATGAGGAGGGGACTTTCTTGCCCTGGAGGGCCATCTCTTGACCCCAGGACAGGTGAGGGTGTAAGTGCCCCAAGCCGGATTGTGACCAGCATCAGACGCAGTCCCTGGGAGGCTCTGCTCAGTGCCCCTTTCTCTGTAGGACCGAGTCTTCAACGTGCTCATGAATCACTGCTTAGAGTTTCTCACTGATCTCTTAAAATTGAAATATATTTTGCATAATGACTTCGTTTTAAATGAGACCAAGAATTTGCGCTGTAGCCCTATGCTTAAAAAATGTAACACAGAAGTTTATGAAAGTCAAAGTTGGACTCTCATGCTTGAGTTACTGGAAGTCTAAGCTGTGGTCTGTTATCAGCTCCCAGCTGACATTTGTGACCCAGGATGTGCTTCTCTGAAGTCTCCACAGCGTTTTCCCTCTTCCTGTGTACCAGAGCCCAATTACCAAAAATACATCAGAAACCTGGAAAAAATGCTTTTTTAAAAAAAAAGTATTTGTCTCTTTTAAAGCAATTTGGATACATTTTCGTAATGAACTAAGTATTGAGTGTCAGCTATGAAATTCTAGTATTAAGGTCAGTTATGGAATAGAAAATTCATAGGTAGCAAAATGTGTAAAGAATTCCAATCTATAGTAACTTGCTCTTTTGTCTTTGTTATTTGTCATTTCAGTCTTTGTAAACTATAATAATGATAGCCTGTGATTCACAAAATTGTACATTTTCTAACTAATACTTGTGCCCCCAGATATGAACTTTATGCTTAGCACTGCAAATGTGTCCTTTATCCTTTTCATCTGAATGAAATATAATCCTATTTTTTTCCTTTATATATGGGTTATCAATTCACTCTTCTCTGTAGTCCTATGACTTTTTTTATTATTATTTTTTAGGGGAAAAATTACATTTTCAATAGAAGTTCTCCATTCCCCCTTTGAAATTTTGAACCGATTTAGGCAAAACATTCCCTAAATTATCACTTATTTTAATCACTATTAGGAATATCCTTGGGTGGGGGGAAGAAGCATGGATAAAGGATTCTTAAACTTGGGAAAATACAGGTTCTATAATCTGAATTTAGTTTGTAATTTGAGTCAAGAGTCTAGGACCTTGGAATCCATTTCCTATAGAGTACCATATATCAACCAGTTCACTTTATATTGCATATATATTTGCATATTAGGAGAGCAAAGAACTCATATTAACTGTGAGAATTGTTCTAGTTAACTACTTTTGTGCTTATCATTAGATAATTGCACGGAGCCATCATTTGTATTCAATATCCAACTACTTTTAAAACTGTAATGCACATTCCATATCCCACTTGCCACATGTTAATTAGATTACATACTAGGACCATAAAAGGACCAGTTGGGACTATACATTTAGCCTTGGAGTGCACACCTACTTTTCTGTGTCTTTTTTAAAGAATGAAAAAGAGTTCCCCTCTATTGTCTTTTCTCCAAAGAACTTTTTCTTACAGTTTCATATGAGTTTTCTACACAGTGTAACATATTCCCAGCAATGTAGTGGCTTACTACAACGCATGTGTATTAGCTCACAGTTTCTGTGGGCCAGGAGCTGGGCCTGGTTTCACTGGATCTTTTACAAGGCAGCCTCCAAGTGTCAACCAGAGCTGTATTCTCATCTGGAGCCTCAGCTAGGAATGACTTTTCTTCCCACTCATATGGTGATCGACACATTCAGTTTCATGCTAGCGGTTTTATGAAAGTTTGCTTCTTCAAAACTAGCAAAGAAGAGAGGGGCTTTAGAGTAAATCTGCTAGGAAAAATCTTATAAAATCTTATGTGAACAGAAAGTGACACCCATTGCCTCTCTGTATTCTGTTGCTTAGAAGCAAGTCATAGGTCCTGCCCACATTCAAAGAACCCAGACTCTTGTTGGGATCATGGGAACCTTTGTTGAGATTACAGAAACCTTAAGAGTCATCTACCCCAACATTTTATATATGTTGATGTTTATCTAAATGAATAGTGAAGATGTTTGGGTTCTCAATATACTAATACATAAAAAAACTTACCTTGGTGAATAAGATACATACATTTTCACCAAAGGCTTACACAGACAGGAGAAGGATTCAACAGGAAAATATGGTTTCTATTTAATGTATATTTGAGTGTAAACTTAAAACTACTGCAACTTTAACCAGTGATCATCTTATGTTCCAAAAGAACTCATCACTTTGGTTACTGGAATTTTACATATTTATAGATGTGAAATTCACTGCATTTTGCTCCCTTCTCTAAAGAGAAGAGGAAATATTTACACCAAATTGAAGTGATGCGTTATTCACTTTCTTTTACTGATATGTAAATTTTCCTGTTTATTTATTAATAAAGTAACATTTTTGAATTAAATTAGGAAAATATTTTTAAGAGTTAAATGAAATAAGAACTATGAAATTATATTGTTTTCCCCTAAATATTAAAAAAAAGTATGAATGTATTCTTTCTGTAGTGGTGAGTGAGTTACTTTTTCCACACTGTATCAGAGATTACTATCTATAGACATTTTTATGACAGCATGTAAACAGAACTATAGTATTATATACTGATATGTAAAATCTCAGATGCAAAGTTAAACACAAAACAGGTAAACATTTACTGATTATAAGTTACAATGCCTATGAAAGTAAATATTTAAATCTTTGCAAGAGAAGAATAATTGAATAACCAGAAGTCATTTATTGAATATTTACCATATACACACATTTGGATTTCCCCCCCATAGACTTGGGTTACTGGAGCAATAAGTAAACATAGAAAGTTTAGTTGTCAATAATAACATCCTTCTATGAAGTAAAAGGTAAAAGATGATAATCCACATTTTTTATGTTTAGAAAAATAGCATATAATTAACATTAATTGTTGGGATTAGAATTTAGGACCTCTCTTTATTCCCTAATGAAGTAAAGCTCATCATACAAACTCCCCAGCAATATTTAGCATATTGCAATATTTGTGTTCTGTTTTTCTAGAAAAAAAACACACGCCAGGAACCTTTTTTTTCATGGTCTTTTATATAAAAACATTTGATAGGAATAACATTATTTTCTATGGATTTTTAAGAAAATATGAAATTCATGGTCCTTGTCCTTGAAGAAGACAAATATGATGGAAGCGCTTTTTATCCAGTATAAATTATCTCTGACAATGCAACTAAATTATCAAAATATTCTTCAAATAAGGGGGATGACATGGATATGAATGTTTAAATGAAAACATGTCTACTTAGAATCTATGTACTAAAGTTTTTAAAGATATCTTTGGCATCTCAAATATATCCTGGTTCCTTCCCATTTCCCTAGTGTGACTCATGATTAGGAGAAAGTGATGAAACAGTTTGCATACAAACAGTTGAATTTTGTGTGTACATGTACTCACACATTCACAAAGGCTAGGGCATTACTAATTCTATGCAGATTGAAAATAACATGCTAGTTCAGTTGAAATATCTTGGACTACTTAATTTTATATACTATTGCTACCACTTTTTGAGAGTATGAAAATATTTATAAATGCTGACTTAACAAGTTCAGAACATCAAGTTTTTTATTATTGAAACTGATTTCATTCTCAGAATCATACGAGATTTGTAGTTACCAAGAGGGATAAATATCATGCCAACTAATCCTCTCCCCTCAGACTCTTTAAGCATGTCCAAGTCACTTCTTATAAGGTAACACCACGTCTTAGCGTAGATATCCATTAACTTATAATGGGACCACACATCCTGATAAATCCTTCATAAGTCAAGATAGTATAAACTGAAAGTGCAGTTAGTACACCTAACTTATCAAACCTCATAGTTTAGCCAGCCTCACATAAATGTGCTTGGGACACATTATATTAACCTACAGTTGAGCAAAATCATTGAACACAATGCCTACTTTATAGTAATGGGTTGAATATCTCATGTAACTTATTAAATACTATTTTGAAAGTACAAAACAGAATGTCCTAAATTTAAAAATTCAAAGCATGTTTTCTGTTGAATGCACTTCACTTTCATGCCATCAGACAAGCTAAAAAGGAAACCACTCAAATTATAAGAGTACAAAAATGTTTATGCCCCTTCTTGAGGTATAATTTAACAAAATTCAGATTTAGTCTCTGTACTTTGCTCAGCTGAACATTGCTGGGAGACACAAAATAAGAAAGAGAACCAGTAGAGTTGCCATGGGAACCTGGTCATGGTCCACACCACCAATAGGGGTGATCAGGAATTTTTGGGACCCTTCTTGGTGGTGCAGCGGGTTAAAGCACAGCACTATGAAGCTATCCCCAGTCACTGCAGCATGAGTTCGATCTCCAGCCAGGGAGGTGACCCACATGGCACCGCAGACCTCTCCTGACCAACCTGCTGCTCCCCTCATCAGTGTATTTCACTACTGCTTTTCTGCCTCCCACTTTGTCGCTGATAAATCCTCTCACCCCTTGCATCTCTGGCTTGTACCCCAATTCTGTATGCACAAATAAATAAATCTTAAAAAAAAAAATTCAGGCAAGCAGAACCCTTCCTGTGAAGATGGGCTACCTGATGTCCCAGCAGAAAACACCTGGCAGAGACTGACTCTCCCAGTGATGGAAAGTCCACCAAAACAGGCTATAAAAGGGACCACCAAATGTTTGGTGCATAAACTTCTCCCATGTCACTTGCTGCTACTTTTAACAGTGTATTTCAATAAATCCAACTTTTCTGTTCTCCACTCTGTCTCTGGTGAATTCTTTCACCCTCACACCTCCTGCCTCACTCTGGTATTCTTCTCCATTCCACCACTTTACCCAAATAATTACAAAATCACTGATAATGTAGCATTCATTTTGATTCTTTTTATTATTTCTGCTTTGCTGAGATGATATGATGTTGATGTGATGTAAGGTTCAGTGAGTGGGGTCCTCTGAGGAATGTTTCAGCAGAGTTCCCCTTTTGTGGCACTTGGCAAGCTTACATAGGAGAAAAAGACATTTGCACACACAACAGGCTGGTAAGGATTACATTTTAAAGAGAACAGATTTAGTAGAAAAAGGAGAAAGGGCAGAGAGCTGCAGCTTTTGAAAGGAAAAGATCTGTGAAAAGAAATGGCTGCACAGACACAGGTGGGCCGGTTGGGACGAGAACTGCATTTGCCAGGACAGAAATCATTCTAATAGCATGTTCCTTTCAAAGGAGGGGTTCATTTCTGTGTGAAATGGTTATCTGTTGTTAAATCAATCACTTCTATGGTGTGACTGGGTTGATTTGTAAGGACAGGTGATTCTCCAATGGCCCTCAGTCTCAATATCTTCCAGTCTGGTCTGCCCCTGGGAATATTTCCTTTAGCAGTTCAGCAAGGCCCTAGGGATCTTTCATTTCTATAGCTGGTCTAACGGCTATGCTAATCATTTCTACCCCCACACCTCCAGTGAGGCCCCTATCATAAATAAATAAAAATAAATCTTAAAAAAAAAATTGTCTACTCTGAACCTAACAATAGCAACACTTTTGCCTGTACCTTCAAGGAGATTTAATAATTGGCTTCATCTGGAATGAAAGACATTCTCTCAGATTAGCCAAGAAGCAATATTGTTGATGTCGGCCAGGAATTCTTGGTCACACACGGGTTTCATCTTCCAGATATTGTGATTGGATGCCAGACTCTCTCTTAAGTCAAGGTTCATAAGCTGCTCCATGCCCAACCCTCTTGGAATATGTCCCAGCCAGTACATACTCCACTCTTTGAGTAGCCACCTAGTGGCTTTCTTACAAGGCATGCCAAGGGGTACCCTGAGACCCCAACTCTGCCTACTCTAAGCAGGTTCTGCCATCCACCAAATGAAGACAAACATACTCTAGTGTATAAGACTTTCAATAGATAGGAACTTAAGTTAGTGTGTGTTAGAAGAGAAAGAATATAGCTAAAATGATTTCCAATAAAACACCCAAAATTGGCCTGAAGCAGAACTTCTGAGGCTCTAAAACTTGCCACGAGTCTAAGGCACCTTCTGGTGGAAAACCATAGGAAAGAGGCACAAAGGGCCAACAAAGTCTGATAGGAGAAAAACAAAATCAAAACCCAACTCAAGATAAAGGCATCCATTATCTACCTCCCCGCTGACTTCTCACCCACATCTCAATCTCTTTCAGAATTCCCTTCCATGTCTCCACATCCTTGGTACCAGTCCAAGACTGAGGAGGAATCTCAACTTCTTCACATGTCTCTCTGCTCCATGTGCCTCCTCCAGGTTATCTTCTTGATTCCATTTCATCCTTCTCTTGGTCTCCTCTAGCTTCTCCTCCCTGCCAAGCCCCAGCATTCCTTATGGTGGGGCAGGGGACCTGGAACCTCCCCTTTCCTCAGGGATTACCCTAATTACCCTACTAAAGTTTTGCCTCCCTGGTGACAAGGGGTTGCACGTTCTCATTAGTTGCCTTTGCAGACATTTTGCTAACCCGTCATTTTGCCCAGCTGTTTGATTTATTATCTACTTGATTGTTTTACATGATTGTCAGGCACAACCTATGCTTACTGTTTTGGAGCTAAAACCTGCTTTTCCCTGGAACTCATCCTAGTTCCATTTATGCAGTCTTCACTATCATCACACATGACCATGTTTTTTTCATGGCTTCTGCTGCAAGCATTTGTTGCATCACTACCTGCCCAATTTAGAAACAAGTTTGGGAGGAATATTAAGGGAATGAACTCAAAGTAACAGTCCCAGTTGAAGACTAATTATGTACATACAATCATATGTGTAAAATATGTTTTCATATAGTTTTCTAGTAAAATTTAACAAATTCATGTGATGGCTTAGCACACCCCACAGCAAATGCTATTAGCTGAGTCATTTGATTCTTTAGGAATATCATCTGTATGAAATATGCCTATATAAGGTGAACTGGAAATTGAAATGATTATTTTTTTGTAAAATAAGCCATTGATCCAAATATTTTAGTCTTGTGGGAAAAATTTATAAACTGAAGTCACAAAATTTTGTTTCACCTCCATGCTGGAAACAATTGGAACTGGAAGTAAAGGCAGTAACAGGTGTGATCCTCCACATCAGAAAAAATTAAGGGAGTGAACCATGTGGGGCTACACAGAGGGATCAAATGGTGTTACCAGGGAGAAATACCGGGGTGGGGCCAGAGGTGTGGGGGATGAAATAATTCACTAGATTCAGAGTAGAGAACAGAAAAGGAAGATCTATTGAAATACACTTATAGGATGATTGAAGTTATCAAGATTCAGAGTAGAGAACAGAAAAGGAAGATCTACTTATAGGATGATTGAAGTTATCAGGCGTTTTTATGGCCTCCTGACATTATAGCCTCTGCGGATG